AGGATGAAAGCACTGCCAAAAACTACATGCACCATCCCATCAAACCCTTACAGTTCAAATGAGGCCACTTAGAAAAGAATTAGATTTTTCTCTAAGAAACAGGCCAACAGAAAGTGCTCTGAAACAAGGTGGCATTTTAGTAGTTACACCATTTCCCCCATTAACCTCCAAAGCCATGCACACTTACACATAGTTTAACCATGTGTTCTGGAGTCTTTAGCCCCACACATTCTTAATCACTGTTCCCCGCTCTACTCCCTTCGTCTGCTCGCCACTTACCAGAAGTGAGAGTGAGTTTCTGCACTTGAATGTTGGGAGTAGAGCCTAATCTCCTCAGTCCCGCATTTCAGCAGGAACCGCCCATCAAAGAGGTCGTATGGACTCCCACCTGGCCAGGAAGCCGCGGCATCAGGCTGTCCACATTGTGCACTTGATAAGTCCTGCCCAGTGGGAAGCCTTTTCAACGCATAGAAGCTATGGTGAGGTCAAGGCCATGCATATCAATGATAATAAATATTGATCATTCTATGCTTCAAATGGTCCTTGGCTCTTTGATTATAACATCTCATTTAATTTTCACTGGCAGTGTTTTTATTGTTTTGTTTTGTTTGAGACAGGGTCTTGCTCTCTCACCCACGCTGGAATGCAGTGGTGTGATCTTGGCTCACTGCAACCTCCTCCTGGGTTCAAGGAATTCTCCTGTCTCAGCCTCGCGAGTGGCTGGGATTACAGGCGCAGGCCACCACACCCGGCTAATTTTTGTATTTTTAGTAGAGATGGGGTTTTACCATACTGGTCAGGCTGGTCTTGAACTCCTGACCTCAGGTGATCCACCCACCTTGGCCTCCTAAAGTGCTGGGATTACAGGTGTGAGCCATAGCACCCAGTGCAGTGATGGTAGTAATATACTCACTTGCACATGAGAAGATGAAGTCTCTGTTTATCGAGCAAAGCATGGATTAAAGCCCAAGAATGTTTGCATTGAACTCTTGTGCCCTTTCTCCTACACCGTCCAGCCTCTCAGCCCTGCATCGCCTGCTGAGATGGGCCTCAGGAGATCCTTCTCCATGTATCTCTCCTCCTAGCAAGGAAATATTTTCTGAACGAGTTGTGAACCACATATTTCCTAAAAATGTGGCCAATGTGGACCTGGACACAGGCTAGGTCGGCTGAGAAGCATATTACCCAAATGGTGGTTGTGACTGTCATGAGGCGGAAGAATAGTGTGAGGCACAGTTCTGCTACATGCCTAAAAGGAGCAAAGGGAAATTAATATTGTGCTTGAAACTAAGAGCCAGTGATCAGCCTAACCCAAGACAGAGAAGGAAATAGCAACACTTTATGCTGGACTTAGAAATGCAGAGTAGGTGCACAGAGGGCTTCAAGGAACCTGATCCTTGGCTTCCTTTGTCTCCTGTTTCAGATAAAGGAAAGTTATTATTTCAGACGTTATTTCTGTTACCAGAATTGTGTGTGTTGATAAAATCATTTATTTTCCCTTAGCTATGGCACGATATAGGAATAGGGTGTGTATATGTGTGTGTGTGTGTGTGAGAGAGAGACAGACAGACAGACAGAGAGAGAGAGACAGAGAGACAGAGAGACAGAGTGAGTGAGCAAGCTGACTTTGGAGTCAGGAAACCTGAGGCTCAGCCTCACCTGTGGGGCACCTACCTAACCTCTCTGGTCCAAGTTTCCATTTTTAGAAAGGATCCTTTTAGCCCTAATGTTCTTTATTCTACTGAGCTGCTGCCAGGGAATTGTCTACCTCTGATCCTCTTCTTTTCTAGAGTCCACCTTATCCAAAGGTTAGAACTTCCTCCATGGAACTGCCCACTTCTCCAGCTGCCAGAGTAGCACCTTCCTGGTGCTGTCCAGGGCGGGGACAGGCAAGTGGCCTTAGGGAGGCACAGGCCAATTTCTCACATAGTCTAATAACCTGGCCCATCCTGAAGCTCTCCCCACCAATTACCACCTATCCCCTAAGAAAACATCAGTGGCTTCCACCTGCCCAACCATATCTCGCCTGGGCAGACACTCCCCCATCAGGGGAGTGAAGGGCTTAGGAGATGGGGCACGTGGAGGAAGAGGGTCAATACAGAGGAGTTTTCTGCTTTCTGAATGCAAGGAACAATATATCACCCAGAACATCATTATCTCTTGAATTATTATACTGCCGGGACTTTTTTTCCTATTAAATTCTATCAGAACAGCCAGATGCGGTGGCTACACTTTGGGAGGCCAAGGCTGGGTTGGTGGATCACTTGAGGCCAGGAGTTAGATACCAGCCTGGTCAACATGGTGAAACCCCATCTCTACTACAAATGCAAAAATTAGCCGGATGTGGTGGCAGGCACCTGCAATCTCTGCTACTCGAGAGGGAGGCTGAGGCAGGAGGATCACTTGAACCCAGAGGCAGAGGTTGCAGTGAGCCGAGATCACACCACTGCAACCCAGCCTGGGTGACAGAGTGAAACTCTGTCTCAAAAAAAGAAAAAAATATCAGATCATAACCCAGAGTCTGTTTGAGCATGCCAGCGGACCACTGTGGGTCAATTTCTTCCTATTCAAAAAAGTCCAAAGACCTCAGTAAAGGATTGCTTTGCCAACATTTTATTTGATGATATAAACTTTTCTACAAATGTCTATGCATTTGTGTACTCATTTATTCCTTCATTCAACAAATATTTATTGAGCTACCTATTATGTGTGAGTTCCTGTATTAATCTGAGAATTCAGCAAGTAACAAAACAGAGCCCTCATCCACATGGAAATAACATTCTAATAAGGGATGACAAACAATAAATAAAAAAGAAGACGCCTATTACAGGATTTGTGGCAACTTAGAGATAAAGTATCATAGACCCCAAAGGACCCCCTAGACACCAGCGATGGGGAGGAAGAAGGAAAAGTTTTTTCTAGTAAAGGCTAAAAAAACACCTCAGCTAGAATATCTCTTATTATTTCATATGTGTGTAATTGCGGATTTTTTTTGTTTTTTTTAACAAATACAAATGCAACAGCCAAATCTTATTTTCCTCATCAGAAAAAAAAAAAGCTTTCAGCTTCCCTGGAAGCATGAAGGAAGAGCTGCAGCTTCCAGCCCCAGGACAGCCAGACATCTGCCTAGCCTGGCACAGCATGCCTGGACCTCGAACGGGTTAAGGTGGCAGCGCCTGAGCTCAGAGCGCTGCATAAACAGTGCGCGTCAGGCGTTCTAAGCAAGCTTCATCTTTCTTGTCTCCCAGTCTTGGGCTGTCAATCAGCTGTCACCAGCCCGCACATCAGCAGCGTGTGCACATCACCAGGCTGTCAGCAAGGCAGCTGATGAGACTCGGCTCAAGACCGTCAATCATCTTTGTTTCTCTTCTCCACTCGGGAAATATTTTGGCTCGGAGAAACAAAGAAACCTGGGCAACAATGGCTGGTAGTCAGGCATTTACTCCTGTACATGGAGATAAGATCTTAAACAGGCGATGATCGTGATTCACTCCCAAATGATGCTGGGGTGGGATGGACAGAGGGAAGAGCCAGAATCTGTTGTATTAGGACATATTTTAAAACTGTAATTCTAGTTCCCTGAGCAGTCCCTGATGGATTTCTGAACCAACAAAGCACAAGAACATAAAATAATGATAACTTGAAGTTATCTGAGCTTATGCCTCAGAAAAAAACAAGGTGGCTCAGAGGACGGATGACTGCTTGGTTAGAAATTATACACCATTGATCAGGCAGCTTTTTGAGGAGGGAGTAATTGTTGGACTGCTGAGTTCATTTATCTCCCAGGGACTTCTGAAACACCTCTTTAGGGCATGAGGCTGCTTGGGGGCACCCACACATCGGAGAGCAAGTTAGCTCAGCAGGACCCCTTGAAGTAGCCTTATCAGTGCTTGCACCCAGAGTCACTTTGTTGAATATAAAGGTCCTCTAAACAGCCCATTTTCTGATATACTGCCTGCCCCTCCTCTCGCCCAAAATATTGATTAGAAATGTCCCACATCCTTAAAAGTCCATGAGACACAAATATAAAGAGATGCGCCTGGCAACCAGTTTCAGTTGGGCAGAAAGTCCACTCCAGGCTGCTCCTCCCCTATTTAACACTATTGCAAAATCACCATGTGCATATATTAGCATAATTAATCAGTTAATTATGCAACTGATGCTACTAGTATAGCTGTTAATAGTATGCAAATGGCACCAAGTTGCCTAAAGCCTCCCCGAGTTTTTTTTTAATTGTTGTTCCATAGTGGCTTTGAAATAGATTAGCAACAATCAGAGCTTTCAATCACATGTATCAAGAACCCTATTACCTGTCAATTTTTCAAATGTTCTGGATTGACTCATTCATACCATGACTGGTTCATCATACCACGTCTGGTTCCCTCATCGTTTCAGTGTTTGTGACAGTGGCGATGTTTTTCCTCTGATGGATCCTTTCCTACGTGCAACACTGATTTCTGAAAACGCATCTCTCTCTGATCTAACTGGACATTAATTGCTTTTGTGCTGATGCATCTATGCCTCCTGGTCTCATAGCACAAGTAGCAAATCTGATCTCTGACAAGTTGGCTGAACCTAATCAGGACAGATCAGCTGTTACCCAAGGTGCCACAGGCTGTAATTTGAGGATCTTTACAGAGTTATCACTAGCCTGAAAGACAAGGAACTATAATTCTGTCAGCACTAATCCCAAACTGTATGTTCAAAGCAACTGTGGCCTCCCCGCACCCCAAAAAAAGATAGCACTTGTCAAATAAATACCTGAGATAATTGATAAGAGGGAATTAGAAGGATGTGGCTGATACAGTGACAGTGGGAATTTTTTTTTTAAGAACCTTCAGAAGCAGAACATTGGATGTCAAGTGTGAACCGTCAAGGATAAAAGAGGGTGGCAGAGAAGAGATGCATGGAAATTTTCCATCATTCCGCTCCCACTCGTCACTGGGTGACTTGGTTCACATTTGCCTTGCTCTCTAAACAGGCAAATACCCAGACATTCTAAGCCTCGAAGGAAATCTCTCAGAGCCAACTCGGGCTGCCACCCAGTGACAATGACTTGATAGGCAGCAAGAACATCGTCAGGAGTGGAGGTATTATTGTCAGGCTGTCAGCTCTGTGCTATTCTCTGAAGACCCCTGTGGTTTTCTTACAGGCACAAAAAGAGGAAATATTAGAAAAACAAACTTCTTTCTTACTGTATCGCTTTGGTCCATCTTCCAAACAAAATGAAAGGGTTAATGTGGCATCATCTTCAAAAAATTCAGTGGCAAAGGCGTCCCACCAGAGGTTGTCGCTGTCCTGCAAAGAGACAGATCATTTATTTAACATGGGAAAGTGGAAAATATCTCAAAGAGGAAAAGAAAACGGAAGAGAAAAAAAAAATTCAGTTGCTGCTTGCTCGTTACTTCGTGTATATGTGTGGGTGTTCTAGGAAAGGGTAGGTGGGTGGTCACTCTTCAAATTAATTGCCTCAATTGGGAACCAAGTTTCAATTCAATAAGTGAGCTCAAACCTACCGAATAAAAATTAATTCTCCAGTATATATTTGGGGAGATTTAATAAATGTGCCACAAAACACAATGTGATGTTTTTTGACAAAAGGGTTTGCATTTAATGTAAAATACGCGTGACTTTTTTTTTCTCTTTCTCTCTCTCTGCTCTTTTAAGAGTTCATTTTTATAAATAGAAACCACAATATTACAACCAGGTCAAACATCATTTTCAACCATAATTTAATCAAAAGAGATGTTCCCAGCTCTATTGTTTGCAAATATCCCTATAAAAGATAGAGGTACGGATACATGGATGGATAGCTTGATAGAGAAGTTCACGCACAAGAGATTCTCACATATATATGGACTGTTCTTGATTGTTTTAAGAGGATAGGCAACCACTAGCTTGTTGTTAAAGAGTATTAAAAATAGAGCAGTTCAGCAGAATGCAGGCCATCCATATGAATTCTGTTTGTTTGTCTTGGGTTGAATGTTTCTCCTGCTCATGCAGAAAACACTTTGGAAGTGGCCCAGTTTAAGGCAGTTAGAATCGTTGTTAATCTCCAAGGAGAGAAGACGGCCCCCTCTCACAGTGATTTAAGAAGGTTATACACAGTGTCATATTTACAGGAGGAATCACATCCCAGCCTAATTCTCGGCATAGGACTTGATTTATCCCAAAATTCTTAAGCACCATGTTTTTTCTAGAGAATTGTTAGTTGAAGACAAGATGCATCCCAGCTGCCTGTCAGATGGAAGAGGGGACAGAAAGGGAATTGCCACTCCCCATGTAATAGTCCCACTGCCGGGTCCTGGCAGAGATACCACAAGCCTCTCTTCTTCCCATTAAGTTGTTCTGCTTATGACAACATTAAGTTGTTGTCACTGGCAGGCCTCAGGAATGAACCCTCAGTCCCAGCAAGAATAATTAAGGAGCAACAGAAGATTGATGCCGTCCTCTCCTTCAGAAAAGAAGCAGCTCAGACAAATGGATTTTTGTGTCTCTCTTTGGCTTCCTTCCAATCACCATAGCAAAAGCCAATCCTTTCCTCAGTAACACAGGGTAGATAGGAAACCACCGAAGAGTAATGCATGGATCCACGTACAAACTGGTCTGCTTTGTCTCCTTTCAGAAACAAATATGTATTGGGCACTTAACTATGTGTAGGCCTTCAGAATGCACAGCTGAATAAGAGACTGGTCCCTACCCTCAAAGGGCTTAAAACCCACTAGCAGAAGACAATCACATGAGCAACTAAACAGGCAGCTTCGCTCCACATCTGAGACCATGGCACACGTCCTCAACGCTCTGGAAGCTTGCGGAGCTTTTAGAAAACTCAGTGGGCCTGGAAGTGGAGGAATCTGCCAGGGAAAGAAACCCTATTCAGAAGACTGGATACATTTGTTTATTTGACTTTAAATCACTACACAGATGGAAAAAGAGTCACAGTTAACATTTATTGAGTGTTTACCACATGCCAAGCACTAGTCTAACGACTTTATGTGTATTTTCCTACTTAATCCACACTACGAATCCATTTCTTCTGTGTGTGTGGTTTTTTTCTCTTCAATACAAATATAAGCTTCTTGTACACAGGGGCTTTGTTTTGCTTGCTACTTTATCTCCCAACCCCCAGAACAGTGTCTAGCCCAGGATATTACTCATAAAAGCAGCTCAGTGAATGAATGAAGCTGCTTTGCAACTCTACTTTGCAACTGCAGAAACCAAAGCTTAGGCAGTAAATGTCACCTGCTCCAGTTCACTCCGCGAATAAATGTCAGAGATGGAATTTAAACTCAGACCACTGGACACCGCCGACCTACCCATCCTCTGCTCTGTACAGCAACCTGCTACACTTCCCTGACAGTCTTTGAGAGGCAGGGGTTAGAGTTCAGCAAGAGGGGAGAAAGAGTTGAAAGGGAATATTTAGTCTCAGGTTGGTTTCTTCTTTGAGCTCCTTGCCTTGTTGTGCAGACCTGTAGCCAGGACTCACGCTCAGGAGACTGCCTGGAGCTTCACAGTAAAGCAGTTGGTAATACATCATGGCGGAATTCAGTCCTGCAGGCAACACTGCCTCTTCCCAGCTATTGAACCTAGCAACTTATTCTACCTTCCCCAGCCTGTCTACTTATTTAGAAGCTGACAATAACAATAACAACAACAATAGTAACTATCTGGCAGCACAGATCTGAGGATTAAATAAATAAGTATGTATAAAGTGCTCCCCAAAGGGAGCGAAGATGAATAAAATCTTCAAGAGATAAAATCTGCAGGAGAGCACCCCAAAGACAGTGAAGATCAATAAAATGCCCTTTCCCTGCCTCTGCCTACCATCTTTAATATTATATCTAGGGCAGGAGGCATTCCACTTTATAAAGAACTGCATTGAAAATGAACTTTATGGCCAGACATGGTGGCTCGCGCCTGTAATCCCAGCACTTTGGGAGGCCTAGGCGGGTGGATCACCTGAGGGTCAGGAGTTTGAGACCAGCCTGACCAACATGGTGAAACCCCCATCTCTGCTAAAAATACAAAAATTATCTGGCCGGGCGTGGTTTTGGGCGCCTGTAATCCCAGTTACACGGGAGACTGAGGCAAGAGAATAACTTGAACCCGGGAGGCAGAGGTAGCAGTGAGCCGAGATCACCCCACTGCACTCCCATCTGGGTGACAGAGTGAGACTTGGTCTCAAAAAAAAAAATGAACTTTTTAAAATAGTCTGTTTATAAATCAGCACTTTTCCCTATCACTTCAACCATTAGCAACCCATTTCCCTGGCAACAGCATCTGTCCACAACACAGTTAAAAATCTGAATGAAAATGTATTACTTCTTGTTTGCTTTGCTCATTATTCAGAGGCCCAATGACTGGATCCCCTCTGTATTAATTCATTCTTACACTGCTATGAAGATATACCCAAGACTGGGTAATTTATAAAGGAAAGAGGCTAAATTGCCTCACAGTTCAGCATGGCTGGGGAGGCCTCGGGAAATTTACAATCATGGTGGAAGGGGAGGAGAAGAATGAGTGCCCAGTGAAGGGGGAAGCCCCTTATAAAACCATCAGATCTCATGAGAGCTAACTCACTATCACGAGAACAAGATAAGGGAAACCATCCCTGTGATTCAGTTATCTCCACCTTGTCTCTCCCATGACACATGGGGATTATGGGGACTATAACTCAAGATGAGATTTGGGTGGGGACACAGCCAAAACATATCACCCTCTATTTTCTGATAATCTAACTCTTGGTCTCTGACACTGCTGCTGGAAAATGAACCAGTGAAAGGCAAAAGTCAAGAGAAATGCTGGCTGATCTGAGGTCACTGGGAGAAAAGAAAGTACTCAAGTTACAATGAGGTTCGAGGAACGTCTATGAGCAGTGTTACAGGTTCCAAAGGGCCTAGATAGGTACATGAGTTTTGGCAGAAGTTGAAAGAGACATAGTAATCCAAGAATGAGAAATGTCATACGATTCAAACTAGTTTCAGTGGAACACGGGATAAGGCAACTTCTCAGGAAATTTCAGAAGAGGTTTGCTGGGAGAATGGGCACATTAGGTAACCACACACACACACAAAATAATTGGTTTCGGTCACAAATCTTGAAAGAACATCCTTGAAATAAAAATGTAACATTTAAATTCACAGGGCCAGGCATATAATAGGTAGATAAAATAATATTTTTGTTTGGCTGATAGAACACATTAATAGATAGATGGATGGATGAAATTTCTTATTGTGGCATCACAAACTCAGCTCAGGAAAGTCACTCTACAAAGTTGTCCAGAGATCTTGATTGTGGACCCTACTTTGTCTGTTGGTCAATAATTTTAAACTGGCATAAAAATGACGTTCTGTGTATTTAAACTGTAATTTTCAATCTCCCCCCACGTGCAAACACATGCACGCACACACACACGCACACACACACAGCTTTTGAATTAGTCTTTAGTTATGACAGAACAAATATTTATTTAGGAAAGGAATAAAAGGAGTAGAGATTTAAGACAAAAATTACTAAGTGTTGGGGATAGGCCATTCTTGTGTTGGCTGTATATGAAGGAAACTTATTACGGAAAGAGCACATCGTTGGGGGCCCTGGGTTAACGTTAGTATCGTAATCCAGAATTTTCTAAGTACTGTAGATGTATTGAACCATTTTATATTCATAACTACCCTAATTGCTACCAAAGGACAGAGCAGGCAGCCTTATAGAGAACTTATGTCCTTAACTTCTATGGTATGCTGACTTACACAGGTGAATTCTGCCTCTTAATAGCTGGATGACCTCAGTCAACTCACCTAATTTCTTTGCATCTGTTTGCTTGTTGGGTAAGTGAGAACAATAATCTCAGTGGGCTGTGAGGACTTAAGAGAAAGTGCCCGGCATATAGTAGTTGTTCAATATGTGTCAACTATTATCATTCATCGTTATCTCATTTAACCCTTAAGAGATTCATAGAGAATCTAAAATTCAAAAAGGCAAGCTACTCAATAAAGGTCAGAAAGCAAGAAAGTGATGAAGCTAAAGTTCACGTAACAAGTCTGCCTAACTCCAATACACGCTTTTTTGTAAATAATTCTACTTAAAAAGTTATTTCCCACTTTAGGTTGAAGACCAAAAATGGTTTACAAGAGTTAAAGAGGTCAGCATTGACTAGAGGAAATTTCCTCCTCCAACCTTTCAGAGTTCATACCCTTTTTCCCACCTTCACATGGTGTTCCTAATAATAAATCTCCCTTTGGAACACTTCTTGCTTCCATTCTGTTTTCTGGTATAGTTCCTGAGATCAGTTAGGCAAT